TCCTTCCACGGCACTTTGGACCTGGTTCATAGCAGTTTAGTTTGGTTAAATTTATATAAGGAAAGAAAGTTTAACTGAATTAAGTAAATAATTCAAAAAAACATAGTTAAACCAGTGCAAATCTTTGTGTAGGCAAGGCCTGAGTTTCAAAAGGACATGAAAGCATGAGCTAAATATCTTCATCCACTAATAATTTTTATCTAAAATTTTGAAATATCAATACAAACCTTCAGATGTATCTAGTCTTCACAGCTAGGAAGAAAATTTTGTAAAAGTGTCCTGAACACAACCAAGATTCTCCCAAGCAAACAACAAGAATTTTTTTTAGCTTAGATTGTATTAAAATATTTGTAAATAATGATCAGGAAAAAAACAAACGGACAGACTCATGACTAACAGTATTAGCCAAAACAGACCCTTCCCATACTGAAAAAGTAATCTAATCCACAGATTTTGCTTCTATCAGAACTGAGAGAGTTCTCTAAAAGTGGTAAACCCCCATGCATAAAGAAGCTTTAAATAGCATTGAGGTTTTTGGGGCTAGGCTGAAGGACCTGAGGCTGCTAAGAGCCTCAGTCTCCTTGCAAAGAGGTATGAGTATCAAGCAAAGAAAACTAAAATGCTGTCACCAAACAAAAATTATTTTAAAAGAAGAGACTACTCATGTTGCTTGCTCCCTTGCCTACTCATATGTTAATCTCACTTCCAGCCTGGCTCCTTAGCCTCTGTACTTCATGCAGCACTTTTAAAAAAAATCTAAAATGTATACATACAGAACTAAAGATTATTATTTACACCATACACATTTGTTTTCCACCTGGTGCATAACAGGGTGCGAGTTTAAGAGAATTATTTAATAATACTGGATTGGGAGGTCAAAGTTAAGGTTTTGCACTATAGTACAGTTGTTTTTGCTCATGAATATAATGAATGAATTCATTGCATGTTTAGTCATTTGACATGCCTTTAAATGTATGTTTGAAACATAATAGTGATAAAAAACCGATACAGATGGTGTCCTTTCCTCCCATATTCTATCAATGCAGAACATCTCTGAATGGCCTCTGCTAGGTTTTCTTGCTATAGGAAGCATAGGCAGAAGGCAGGTGGGCATCTTAGAGGTTAAATGATGTGTTGTTCTTTTGTATGATTGCAGAAATTTGGATTGGCCTTGGTTTTAGGAGGCACCAGCTGATCCAGACAGTGTCAGCTCATCTTTAGCTACCTCATTGGTTCAGCAACTTGGATAAGGCTTAACTCTTACTCTTCTGTTGATACTTTGATTTTATTTTATTCATGCTACTACTTTCTATTTTCCTATTTATGCTGTTAATGTGCATAAACAAATCCCACAAAGTTCAGGAAACTGACCTTACAAACTAGGCTTATGCCCTATCATTTGGGCAGTAAGGCATTTATTGCAAGATCATAACACTTCACTGTTCAAACAAGGTAGGTTTTATGACCATTCTCCAACTGAATTTTGCTCCTGTCTCTTACCACAGAACAACATTGCCTTTAAGAGAGACTTGCAGCTGGTATTAATGATAGATAGTGTGACATTCATTGTCTACCTATTCAGGTGCTAATGATCCAGGTGCAAAGAAAAGTTGCCAGATGCTCACTGGAAAAAAAATTAAAGCAACTGTCACCTATATAAATGACCTAAAACAGGGAGTACACAGAGAAGTCTCAAAGTTTGCAGATGATACAAAATTACTCTGGGTAGTCAAATCCCAAACTGATGGTGAGGACAGAAAGATCTCATGAAACTAAATGAGCTAGCAAAAAGGTGGCAGATGAACTTTAATGTTGACAAGTGCAAAGTAACACACATGGGGGAAAACATTCTCAAGTATACAGACATATTGCTGGGCTCTGAACTAGCTGCTATGATGCAGGAAAAAAACATTGTAGTCATTGTAAACAGTTCTTTAAAAACAATGTCTCAATGTGCAGCAGTGACCAAAATAGCCAATGAAATATTGGGCGTCATTAAGAAAGAAATTGAAAAGGAAATGGAAAAAACATCATTATGTTACAAATCTATGCTACATCCATGTCTTGACTACTGTCTAGAGTTCTGGACTCCCTCTCTCAGAAAGAATGTATTAGGTTAAGAAAAGTTGCACAGAAGGGAACAAAGATTAGCAGGGGTATAGAGCTGCTGCTGTACCAGAAGAAGGTTGGGGGTGGGTATGATAGGTTTATAAAATCATGAAGTAAATAGGGAATTTTTATTCACATCATCACAGAATACAAGAACCATGGGGTATCTGCTGAAATCAACAGGAAACAGGTGTAAAACAAACAAGAGGCAAGGCAATTTTTTTTACACAATGCATTCTGAATTTTTGAAACTCACTGCCACAAGGGGTTGTACAGGCAGATAGTATAACCAAGTTCAAAAAAAAGGAGTAGAGAAATTAATGGAGGACTAGTCCAGTAAGAGCTATTAAATAGCTATTCCTAAAGCAGTGATGGTAGATGATAGGGGATGGATCACACTAAACATGTACACACAGGGCACTTTTACATGTGGTCTGACACGGTCTAACAAGAACGCAGTGGAGCAGACTTGATTGAGTCTCCTGGAGCATTCAGAACAGAGTGCTCCACCATGCAGCAGCGTCTCGTGTGTTCAGTTTCCTCAGCTTGTTGAACAAGCTTTAGTTAAAGCACCCCCACTGCCATTTTGAAGTGCAGGATGCTGAATAAACAAGATGCTGTGGACATTTTAATTAGAGAGGACCCTGAGAGCAGCTCTAATTAAAACGCCCCACGCATATGTACAGACACCCATACTCTCCTTCTAAATTTCATAGATTTCATAGACATTAGGGCTGGAAGGAACCTCAGAAGATCGAGTCCAGCCCCCTGCCCAAAGGGCAGGAAGTCAGCTGGGGTCATAGGATCCCAGCAAGATAAGCATCCAATTTGCTCTTGAAGGTATTCAACATGGGTGCTTGAGCCACCTCCGATGGCAGCCTGTTCCAGACCATGGGGGCTTGGACAGTAAAGAAATTCTTCCTTATGTCCAGCCTGAAACGGTCTTGCAGTAGTTTATGACTGTTCGACCTCGTCATCCCTTGGGGCGCTCTGGTGAACAAACATTCCCCCAGATCCTGGTGGTCACCCCTGATAAAACTTATAGGTGACCATCAGATCACCCCTGAGCCTGTGCTTTTTCAGGCTAAAGAGCCCCATGGCTCTCAGCCTGCCATCCTAAGGTCTGTTTTCCTGACCTCTGATCATGCGCGTGGCTCTTCTCTGGACTTTCTCAAGCTTCTCCACATCCTTTTTGAATTGTGGAGCCCAAAACTGGACACAGTACTCCAGCTGTGGCTACACCAAGGCCAAGTACAAGGGGAGAATGACGTCCCGGGATTTGCTTGAGAAACATCTATGGATGCAAGCCAGCGTTTTGGTCACTTAAATCATATACTACTTGCTACTGTTGGTGATAGGATATTAGTTTAATCAGTGGTTTTCACCTGTGGCCCACAGGCTGTCTAACAAGTCCATGAAAAATGACTATGATCAATCAAACGTGAATACCCACACCTAAAATTCATAGGGGTCTAATATTTCCAGTCAACATTTTTTAGGGATCCACAAATGAAAAAAAGTTTGAAAACCACTGGGCTAAATGGATCTGACCCAGTACATAACTTCTTATGTAGAATGTAAGCAAAACATTTTGATAACTAGTTTTCCTTTGTGAAATTCGTAGGAGATATCAGCTGTCAACTTTTTTCAAAAGATAATGAAATCTTTCTTTGTGCTGTGAAATATCACCCTGGTTAAAATTAGCGTTTACGCATAAAACAAGCAACAATCAAGAGTGTTAGGAGCACTAAACAATACCTAAACTTTGAGCTTTTCACTTTCCCCTTTTTTAAATCAGCAATTCCCCAGACAAGTTATAGATAAGAGAGGCAGCCTTTGGGAGTCTTGAGCTATATTTGTACCTCCTTCTTGGCAAAGCAGCAGCCCCTCCCCCCACCTCAGTTTGCTTCCCATCTGCGCTGCTCAAGTGCGAAAGCAAGTGCCACTGGGGCATATACTTAGCACCCCTCTAAAACCATTTAATTTAATTGCTGGGCCTGGGAACAGCAGAACAGGAGTGAGTGGGCCAGATTTGTTTCTCACCTATGGTCCTGGGCTTGGTGGGCAGATGGTTCATATGTGACAATGATTTTCTTTTGAATCAGTTAAAAGCCTAACTCAGAAAGTGAAAAAGGAATTCTGTATTGGTTTATGAGACAAACCAATCCTCAGATGAAAAACCATGGAGATGTAAATGACTAACAAAGCAATTATGTATATGGTCCAATTCACCAAGGTACTTCAGCACATGCCTGACTTTAGCACACAGATAATTTTGTGGAAGTTAGCAGGGACTTCTTGTGTGCCTAAAATTAGGCATATACCAAAATACCTTTCTACAGTGAGGCTTACTTTTAATATTTCTGGAGAAGTTAAGCTTCTGTACCACTTAATTCCTGCAACTATTATCAGTAAACATTTTATATATTGTTCAAATTACATAAGATGACCATGGTACTTGTGTGACTAAATATACTCTGGGTTAAAAGTGCATGTCAAAGAGGATTGCATCAAAGCTAGCAAGTGACTTTGCTCAAAAGAGTTTGACCAAGTCAGAAGTGACCGGACATCTAATTAAGGCCGTATTAAGGGGTAAGGGGAAAAAGGCTGACCATCCATTTGGCCCTCACTGTTCCATGAATATTTCTATTAGGTGCAATAATATTAGCTTTGTGGTTCCTAGACATTCCTGCAATGAGATTTTTGAGAACAACTATATGCAATACATTTTCACTGCACTGAGCATTCCTTCATTGGAATGCTAGGTAATTTTAAGCCAGGTACAAATACTTCTGATCTTATTTGAACTCTCTAGATTTATGCTGTAAAAGTCATGTATATGCTAATTGACGGCTATATTTTAGAAAATAACCAAACAGTAAGCACTACAACCCTGTTAAATCATGAAAAATTTATTGTAGTTACATATACATGGAGTTAAAATATTCAGTCAATAGTGTTTTTGAACAAGCATTTCAGTTAAACAAGAACCTGTTAGTGTCAGTAGCTAAGCAGAAATTTAACCTACGGTTAGTGTTTTGTCTTTATTTGGTAACTCATTTCTAGTATGTATATACAGAATTTATTCTTGTTAGAATGCCAAGACATATTGCAACATTTACATTCCTCATATAAAATGATGTGTAATGTACATTTTCAGCTTGGTGCAGATATATAAATATGTACAAAATAAACATTATTGTAGTTAACATACTTAGACCGGGCTTTGTTTAGCAACACATCAAAAGCAGATGCACATAAAAATTAAGTCAAAATGATTTTAGACACATTTGTGACCATTAATTTGTTTATAAAATAGTACAGATGAAGGCCTATATTTTGAACCTTCTGTGGGCCTCCAAAAGTTCTATGTTTAATTAAAAACAAACAAAACCAAAAAGCACAAGATAATCAGATATAAGCTATGATCAGATGGTTTGCTAACATCCATCTTGATCACAAATGTAAAAAAATACACATTTGTTCAGAGCATAAAATATTGCACAAGAGCAGTTTCTTTTGAAGAAAATATTTCCCATGTTTATGAACTGCAAAATGGTTCTTAAGCATTGAAGAAATTAATATTTGCATTTTCTAAAACAAGGAACATTCAGTAATACTGTTAGAACTGTCATCCATCAACTTCCTCCCAGCCTACTTTATGGCAATGGTATGTCAGTAGTAAAGATTTGGCAAAGATAAAAGGCAGATATTAAAATGTGTATATACATAATGAGCCAGACAAACTCCAGTAGTAATAACCTAAATTCAACAGCCTGGCATTTCTGACCATTTATCCCTTAAAGATATGAAGTCTTAAATGCTAGTCACAGTGATGATCATACAGTGGTGGAGTAGGATTCCATTCTTTTCTGGTTCTTTTCCTTGGGAATAATTGTGTCTGCACTTCCAATACCCAGGACACCCTCTTCAGCATCACTGTCACTGCTGTCTACCACAGTTGCATCCAAAGCCATCTGACCAGTTCTGCGTAATTGAAAGTGGATCCCACTCCTCTGTATGGAGTTCGTTATAAAATCTTCATCAGAAGAATGAAATGACTCATCATCTCCTGTAAAATGGTTGACAATGTGAATCCCATCAAAAGTGGCTTGGTCTGAGAAGACTCTCTGGCCTTTTAGGCATTTGATCTGTTAAAAAACAGAGTTGATATTTAGTTACAGGTTCAGCAATAGGAATAACAACATGTTTGGGAATAAGTGGTTTTGACATTCTGACACTGAGTTTCTGAAATTGAATTCACGTTCAAAACCTAACATTTGAAGTACCAAAAATCTCTCACACAAAACTTTTGGCTTGTATCTAAACTTTTGGCTTGAGCAGTGTCTTTTGAGGGTCTATTATGGTTTTCTAAACTGCCTTATTCATTACCTGAGAGTCACTACTTTTATTTTCCTCTCATGTATTACCTCAGGTTGTTTTTCTACTTAGATGAGAAGTGGGTGGGAAAAACAAAAAAGTTTTTCAGAGAGGAATATGGCCAGTGTTTTATGGAAAAGTCAGTAAATGGCAGTCACAAGCAATATATTTACTTACACGCACCTTAAAATATTAAGCAGGTCACTCCCACTACCCAGCTCAACCTCCACTGAACAACAGCAGGAAAGTTTAGAACCTACCTTCTTGCTCCATATAGCAGAGCAGACTGTATTCTCAAAGAGAAATACTTTACAAAACAACAATGATTGTTGAAACAGGTGAAGTGTTCTCAATATTTTCATTTCAAATGCGCCACTGAAGTGATAAGCAAACTACTACAAGCACATTATCCATTTCAAAAGTAAAAACGAAACAAAGCCAAGCACGTCCAAATCTTAACTTAGCAAAAACTAATCTTAGCTATCAGAAGATGCTCTTGAGGTCAGTTCTTAGAATTTCATGTAGAACAGCTTAGCCACTGAATATGCAGTGTTTGACAGCTGCAGACAGTACCATGCTAAAAAACTCTGAAGATGCAGAAAGGGAGTAAAATTGCTCTGCAGACATATCCTGAGGCCTTGTAAACTTAGAACACCCTATAGGGAGATGCATCATGTTCTCCTTTGCAACACAAAGACCTTGAAAACAGTAATAGGACAAAAAAATCTTGAGATACTTTAGTAAGAAAAACATGAAATTGTGCTCAACACCCACAAATCCATTTTAGGTTTCAAGGTTCTTGGAATGATATTTACCTTTGTACATGGGCCCCACACCTAACTCTCAAGGTGAAAGCACCAGCAGAGCTAAGCAGAAGAATCTTTTCTACTTGTTTGCTGGGGGCCGGAGGGGTACCCATATAAGCCCCACAAGACCTTGCAAAGGATGGGAATGGGACTGAGCTGAGATTGATGATAATTCCAGTTGCTTGAATATCAAAAGCAAACTGTGTAAAGGGCATCATGCTACATGTCACTCCATAACCTGCAGAAGTAACTACACTGTGGGGGAGGGCTGTGCTGCACTACCTCAACCTCAGTTTGGAGGCAGGATTTTACCCTTTCAGTCTGTTACTTTTACATAGACTGTGATCGCTTGTAATGAAGGCCCTTGTTTTAGAGTGATGTAGCTGTGATAGTCCAGGAATTATGCGAGAGGCAAGCATTCTTTGATGGGTGATATGTTTTGTTGGACCAACTGCAGAGCTGGAATCAAGCTTTTGAATTCAAGACATTTTTCATCAGGTCTTCATCATTGCAAAAACAGGCATTCTGCCATATAAGTCATTTTAGCAAGGTATTCCTAACTGTAAATCAGATCAATAAAGTCTTAACTTATTTGTACTAGTGGCAAAATCCCTGAAATCCTATAATATGAACTGTCTAATCACCCACACACCTGTAACTAAGGTATTTCCAAAACTACAGAAGTTTTAATTTTTAAAAGAATCCTTAAAACATTCATTAATGAACACCACCAAAATGGATCACTGCAAACTAAATGCAACCTGACTGCATTCTTGGTATATAACAAGAAGCCACATGCTTATTCAGTTTGCATTGGTAGACTATCTGTGCTTCTTTCCAGTTGCCTTATAAGGTTCAAGTTCAAATGCCAGTTTAGGAAAGTCTGGGCAAGAGTCAAGAAGAAAACCTAGATTTTCCAGCTCCATCTTTACCACAAGAGCATTCTTCCATCTGAAGGAAAATGCTGGTCCTTCAGGGGCATCCCAGCTTAAGGAGAGCACTAGTTAGACCCTTTAGTTAGCATGGATGCCATAGCAGTGATCTGCCAGCAACATCCTCCTTTGTGAGGGAGGCCACCATTGGTTAAACCCCAATAGATCTTTCAAGTGTTGTGGCTGGTTTTCCTGCCCATAAAGGAAACTAACACTATTCGTCTTTTTTGATCTCACCCTCTTCCTCTACCCCCAAAGCCTTCCACCATATTTAAATAAGGCCTGATCGTTGCTTAATGAAGCAGTTCTGCAAGGGCTCTGTCCTAATCAGGCTTGGGAAATAAGGCAGACCCATAGTCTCTGAGAATTACAGGGAAAAAGCTCTTAACAGCTCAGTGCCACTGTGGTTTTGTTAACTCTTTAGGAGAACTGAAAATTTGGGTAAAGTTACAGTCACATAATAAAAATATTTAATCTCCATCATTGGCTGCTGGGGTGGCGCAGGCACTAACATATGTGGTTGACAGCCCAGAGATCACAAGTTTGAAGCCACAGCAGAAGTGCTCATGGCATGGCCCTATCAGATGAATCTGTAAATTCTGCCAAATATCTTGTCACAGAAGGAAAAGACTAGATCTTAGAAATATACCCTCTTACCTGATGCTGACTGCCTCTTCAAGACATGCATGAGGGAAAGAGAAATGTAGAGATTTTAGCAAATTCAAAGGTTTTGCATATTAAATGCAGCAAATGAAGCCCTAACAAGTTTCTAAGACCAACAGTATTTTTAAGAGGCCTCCTTTATATGTATATAAAATGAAGAGGAATAGATGTCTAAGTAGCGCTAGAAAAACCTGCCGAAAACATCAGCCAAAAAAATTAAGGCGACGCAATAAAAAGATGACTGTTCAGAAAAAAAACCCATTAAGATAAATGTATATTCTTAAATTACAAATCTAGATATTCTAATATTAGTAAGATTTTTGATAGAGGCTATACCATTAAAAAACATCTGACCTCTAAACAGTATTTTCTGTTTCCTTTAAACATTAAAGTAACTAATTCCTGTATTGAAATTATGGAGTTCTAAAATGGTCAGGAACTGTACGTCAAAGAGAGAAATAAAAATGTTTGCTAAGCAAGGTTTGTCTAGCAACAGTCAAACTGTTTACTATTAACCAAGCTCTACAGATTAAACTTCAGATCACTGCATGGGTAGTTTTCAGTTGAATAAAGCTGGGTCAGAACAGGAAAAGGAGTATTCATGTAGAACATCAACACTGATTTTAAATAATTTAACCTTAGAACAGGAACAGTCTGAAGCAATCTAAGTCTTTGTTCTTCTGTACCTTGGTAACATTTCCTGGTTATAAAGTCGTCATGATTAAAAAGAAAACTGAAACTTCACGCTAACCGTATCCAATTAAAGAAAATTATCATTAACATTTTTTTTTTTTTTTTTTAAACTATCTGCCTACATAACCCGATAGAAAGCTGCCATCCTTACATCTTCATGAAGCAAAACTATTAGCCAAAAAATTCTGGGAAGCAATTGAAAATATCAGTAAATTGAGCATAAGAGCTATTAAATTCTGTTTAAATTATGCACAGGTAAACTTTTTAATCTGAGAACATAAAACATATTAAAATTTCTTTCCTGAGAACCTGGAGATTGTCCATGGCACCTAATGGAATGTAAATTCCCTTCCTTACTGGATTCACAACACTTGGCATCTACCTAGTGATATTAAATAAAATACAGTTTAAGATGCTCATAACAACTTAGGCAGAGACAGATGGTTCCTCAGTTATTGAAAGGAAATACTGAAACAGTGCACATTCTTTTTAAAACTCTTGCCTATTTCTTTAATACATTTATTATTTTGGTAAGCATTTGGGTCAGAGGGAATCATGAGCAGTTGGCAAGGAAAATACACTTTTTAATTAAAAACTATTGTTGAAGTTCTCCTCAAAGGTGAGTTATAACACAAACATTTTCATCCTAAGAAACCTTTAACCTTTATCAACTCAGAACATTAATTTTCTCTTCCAGAAGTTTAGGCTAAGGGGTTGCTAGTGTTTCTTTTAAGATGTGAAGGTTACACTTCCACAGCAAGTCATTCACTGCAAAACCATCACAACTTGAATTCTGCTCCAGTAGACAACAGAAGCAAAATCTAATCCTTACAAACATCATCATTTACATTACACTACGTAAAGACTTTCTTGCTCAGAAACTATTTTTTAGATACACTTTAACAACATGTATAGATTTCCTTGCACTTTCCTGGAGACCTGATAAAGATTGTATCACAACAGGTTGAAATGCAAGCTGTAATTTTCCTAGCTGTTTGCTGAGGGTTGAGCAGGCATAGAGCAAGAAAAACAGTGAAGATCTGACATTTATAATAAAAAGCAGAAAAGACAGACCTTTGTGGGAAACCCCAATACATGGCTGTAAGAAGTACAAAACCATTCTTTACCCAAATAAGAACCTTCCTCCCTCACCCCATTGAACTTTACATGTATTATAACCTGCAGCTTTAGTATTTTTTGTTTCCTGGCATATGCGTGGGCTCTAGCAATGGGCTGCCTATAGCAGTCACTATTTAGAACAGTTCTGTAGGTTTTTTAGCAGGGCAGATTGCAGTATAGGGTGTAAGATTCTAAGTAATCATGTTATTTAATTAAGAGTAGAGTCTCTAAGAGTGGTTAATAAAGCAAAGCAGGCAAAAGTAGAAGCTGCAGCTTTGACAATCTGAAACATGGGTATTATAGATTAAAGACACAGGAAATGCCTTGATCGGGCACACAAACACTGTGCAGCAGCACACTCTCAAAACTTCTGTTTTTAAGTTTTGTTTTCTTTGGTTAGCCATGAGTAGTCTAGCATTCAATACTTTTTATAAAAACTAAGGTATAAATGACCTGTGGTATGCATTTCAGCATTGAACTGCATTTACTTGTTTTCAACTTTGTTCCCAGAAGGTGATTCAGGCAGTTCTATCTAGTAAAAAAGAAGTTTTTTGGCTC